GCATGGACAGGCAACACCTGAACAACGTCTGTGCAAGCATTAGTAGGACAACGCAGGGCGGAACCCCTATTAGGTGACCTTTGATGAAATTCTGCCACGTCTTAAGTTCACAGCCAGAGGAGATGCTTAGGGGTTGCAAGCCATATACAACCCTAAAAGGCGATGTCGAGTGGCAACATATATAAACCCTAAAAGGAAAAAGACATGGTTCGGTGGCAACTAGGTAAGCAAGCATGAACAACCCTAAAAGTCACAAGAAAGCAAAAGAAGAAGTCACAAGTAACCGTGCGCGCAGGACCCGGTCACCGGAACGCAGCATTTTTGCCGATGTGCTAATGTAACCTAGCCAATCAACAGCCGCGCCATTACTTTGACACGTGAAGAGCTTTCCGGTGGACATCGGCTAGCATGAACCTTACACAGGTCCATATATGTGCACAGGGCGTGGAAGCAAGAATCAACTAGGGCCACATAGCATGTGTGCTCTTAGGCATGTCAAGAGAAAACAGGAAACTCCGAACCTTGCACGACCGCACTACTTGGCCCTCTTGCACATGTTCGACACCTCCACGGGTCGCTGCTTGACTTGAAAGAAACTCGACAGCTTCAAGCTTGAGATGGCAAAGCCGCTGCGTCTGGCCTTTCCTGCGAAGGATATGCCCACTATGCGTTCGAAGCTTACACAACACAGTCCTTGCAAGAATCACATCATCACATCAGCTGAGCGGATGCTGAGGTACCGTTTTGCAGCAGAGCCACCGTTTATGATGCTGCAACTCTCATCGAAGCTACCTTTGATGGAGGCTGCTGCAACTCCAGGCATGACCAAAGCATCATGCAGGTAGATAAGAGACCCATTGTCTGTGGCGGCGGCACGGAATGACTCTCCAGGTGGTGTCCCATTTGCCTTTGCAAGCGGGCTTGCGGCCAGAGACTTAGTCTACAGGACATTTGCAACACCACGGAAGGGCGGTAACACTTGGCCATGGACATTGGCTCCCCGACTGTTCACGGACATTGCCCAAGGTGCACAACAACACTGTTGTAATCACATATGGGGCTGGACACCGTGACGTCCGAGCATTGGTGATGACTCTCGACAGGCAGAGTTTCTTCGCCATAGCCGATGCGAAACCATTCAACGTTGAATTGAGTTCCCTACAGGCTGGACGAGATGTTCGCATGCTCCGTCTATGTGAATGAGTGAGGATCGTTGGCTGGTAGAGTTTTTCATGCAATGCACGAACGAGTCTTTTGGACTGCGCTGGAGCACATTGGAGCACTGCCGGTCGATGGCACGATACTGCAATGGCTAGGTGCTGAACTTTTCAGTCCCCTACGCACGTGAGGCACACGCTCTAGATGATCGCGTGCAGGCCTTTTACTCACGTACGTCACAGCGTTTTTTCATCCGATGCTGCGGGTCATCTTCAGCCATATACGTATAGTCAAAGGCATGGCACCCTTCTCGAGTTGCGCAGGGGGCGAGACTTGCTTTCTTCCAGGCTGGTACCCCGCCAAAGTTTCACAGGGATTGGCCGCGTTGTTTTGGGTGTCCGTTCCAGCCGATGCGCCTTCTGCGGAGTTCTGATGGTTCCGAGTGATCCAATCCATTCGCACGAATGAGTGTATTGAGATGCATTTAGAAGCTGGTTTTCTTGAGGTTCTGGCGCGCCGAAGCATGCCGAAGTGACTCCGTGCTGCTAGACACGATGTTCTCGTGCAGGTGTCTTGTGTTATCTTGTGTTTGGTGGGTGTCTTGGTGCTCCGGACAAGGTGGCGGGTTGTTTGACGTCTTCTCTGTCACCTATTTGAACGCCGGTTCAAAAATCGACAGAAATCACTTTCGCACCATCTGAAGAACAGTTGTTGTCAACTTGGTGGCGTCTGCGAATTAGAAGCGGATATGAGATCTTGATAGCACACGTGCCTGGCCTAATTAGCTGCGTCCTTGACAACATTCCTGTTAAGAGAGTGCTAGTCAGTGCCAAACGCAAGTCGATGAGAGGCCCACGCGCATGACGAGTCAATGATGACGTGTGCAGCATGTGCAGACAGCAACAAAAATGGTTGTTTGCGCATATTCGTCAGGAGCTGGAAGAGTCAAGGGCCGAAGAATTGGCAGAGAGCTCTTCAGTGGGCTCTTGGTCTTTGCATGAGGTGCAGCCCGATAGAAAAAAGGCAAACGATAGCCGCGCCGAACAGAAGTGTTCGCGAAAATTAGTTTCGATGCCAGTTTTGGTGCTTCCGGGGCCTGTGTCTACGGCACGCCGGCTCAGGTGTGGCTGGCCCTGGGGTGCTCAGTTGATAATGTCTGTATGCTTGTGCAGCACTACCTGCCATGGCTGGTTCGTGCCAGAATCTGACGCAAGGCTATATCCGAGCATCGTGAATTGAAAAGTCTAGCTCGGCAGGTTCTTTTGCAAGGGTCGGCATGAGTGCGCCATGGATAGCGTGACAGGCGAGGAGCATTTCAACAGAAATGTTCACCAGCCTTCTGTGCAGCCTTATGTGCACAGCCGTGCACTTTGTTTCAGTTTGGACGCTGGGGCCTGTTTTCCAGGGCCGGCTCAGGTGTGGCCCTTGGGTGCTCAGTTGATAATGCCCGTTGTTGCATGGCTGGTTCGTGCCAGAAGCTGAAACAAGGCGGTATCCGAGAACATCCGAGAATCGTGACTTGAAGAGGAAATTGGCAGGTTAGTTGCAGAGTTGGCACGAGTCAGCCAAAGAATGATAGGCCGACAGGCGACGAGCAGAAACGGCCATATATGGTGCAGCGTCGCTGCCCTCCCACCGCCCCCCCC